GCGTCAGGGATCCTGTGAGTGGCAGGAGTTCGAGGGCTGACCTGACCTCCCACTGTGAGGCCGCTGCCCTCCTGTTCAGTGTGACTGTCCCTGACGGCCGCCCGGGGATGCCACTCCCAGGCTTTGTTCCTCAGGTCTGCACTCTAGCCAGCTCCGAGCCCCGCGCAAGTCAGGTCCTGCTCGGGGGTCTCCCATCAGCTCTCCAGCTCTCGAAGAGCCACGAAGAGGCAGAGACCACACACCCCAAGGCTCAGGTGGCCCGGACAGCCTGTGATGGGGGTCTGGGAGACTGGGCTCAGAGCAGGGCCGGCACCTGGAAAGGTGTGGAGTCGAGCACAGGCTGTGGTCCTTGGCTCGCTGTCCCACGAGAGCCCCGAGCAGTCGGTGCTGTCTCCCTCACCCTAACAGAGTTCAGGGGGGTGACCTGACCACTTCCAGATGTGGAATCTGCAGTGCTATGACTGCAGGTCAGTACGTAATACAAAACATGTACCCATCAAAGCCAGGCGTGACACAGTTCTCTGCTCCAGGAAGCAGGTGGGTAATTCTCAAACAGAAAGTAATTCCATTTCAAGAGGATGGAGGAAAACATGCTGTTTTTGCCTTTTTTTTTTTTTTTTTTTCTGATGCTGAGGCTAGGAGGGAGGCTCGGACCAGAGTGTGAGGCTTGAGAAAGAGAAAACAAAGCCGGGCCTGTGTCCCAGGCTCCTGGTCGGAGGGTGAAGGGTACCTTCCTGTGTGGCGTCTGGGCTGTGCCCCAGGGCTGAGACAGGCAGGGGTCTGCACAAGTCTCCACAGCGCCTGACACACAGGCCCCCGGTGCTGGGGTTACTGCCAGGCAGCTCTGCCCAGCAGGAGCCCCCACATCAGGGACACCGGCTCCTCCTGAGCAGACGCCGCCCACTGGATGCCGGGGGCCCCCCGTGGGCCTTGCACGGAATGCACGTGGAGGACTGCCACACGCCAAGTCCTGTGTCATGGTTCTGACACAAGAAGTGGCATGAAAAGTCATTTTCAAGAAATAAAATATAATTTGTTTTGAATAGACAAGCATTCTGAGGAGGATGAAGAGCTACCTTGTAGCGAAAAGCCTCAGCTGAGAGCCCGTCTGACAAGGGCGGCCCTGCCCCGGGACAAGCCAGCCATGAAGGCCCAACTCACGCAGCAATCAGTCCCTGGGTGATGAAGACCCCAAGCACCAGAGGGGAGAAAGCATGTCAGGGCAGGGTGCTGCAGAGCCCAGCTGCACGCCCCGAAGGGCACACTCAGCGACGCCCTCTCAGCCACGCCCTCAGGGCTGTCCGACAGGCTCAGCCAAGTGGGCGCCAGCGTGGACGTCCAGCCACAATTCGGCGAGCCGAGCTGACCTGCCTGCAGCAGCGCCGGAGCCAGAATGATGGCCCAGGGGCGAGCGGGATTTTCCGTTGAGCACCACCTGCACGGAATCCCGTTACCGCCACTGGTAAGGACTGTGCCCTGGCGGATGGGGGCCAAACGCAGCAGCCTGCTGAGGGGCTGGCAAGACTGAGCGGCCACCCTGCCGCCCGCGTGCGAGGCACTTACGTGCGGGAACGGTGCAGTCTCTCGTGTTGTGGTACAGCCTGTGGAAGTGCTTGCTGCACTTGGGACCGAAAGAGAGAGGACCTGGAACGTGGAGGAGACGGGCATGAGAACCCGGGTCACTGGGCCAGGCAGAGGGGGAGCAGGACACTCACCTGTGAGGTGTTTTAAGAACTTGTCTTTCATCCTTAGATCTCGAGGAACAATTTCTGTTTGGGGGGAAATAAACCATTCATTATTTTTCTAGCTGGTACTGCGGGACTCGAGCCACAGTTGGCCATGTAAGATCCAGGCGCCTTACCCACCACGCCACCGGCTGGACGGAAAGTATTGCCTGAATAAAGCATTTTTAAAACGCGGTCTGAGGTGAACACTGAGGAAAACCCCTGGAAACTGCACTAGCTGATCTAGGGGTGCCTGGTGTCCACGGGCTCGGTGGGGGCTCCGACCCAGGCCCTGGGAGGTCCCGGTGGTGCCTGCCTAGGGAGACAGATGGCAAATTCACAGGGCAAAGAGACCGTGTTGAGCTGTGTCCAGTGAATAAATCGCACAGGTACTTTCATCTTGAAGAGCTTGGGAATCAAATTCCTCATTTCAAGGTTCTAGAAAGAAGACCTACGGCCTTCAGACAGACCTGTTACAGAACGTTACTAAAGGAGGATTACACATGGACACCGCAGTCTGGCGGAGCTAGGGTGCAGACAGCAGACTCGGCCCATGGACAGTGCAAGGACAGGGTCCTGCAGGGACTGCCGGCGGCCCCTCTGCCCCGCCTTTCGCAGGCCACTGTGGGCGCCCCTCTCGGTCGTGGCTGTGACGTGGCTGGGACAGTGTGACGTCACGCAGTTTTACCAGAACACCGCTCAGCTCCCCCCACCCCAACCTGCCAGGCCCAAGCTGCACCTCTCGCTCCTACTCTGGGCGGCCCATGTAGACCTGGCCCGATTATACCTGACCTAGTGGGTCACGGAAGCACCGAGAGCTTCCAGGCTGTCCTGGGAAACCCTGGGCGCTCCGGGAAGGCTGGCAGAGCTCCCGGGCCTTCTGGGACCCAAAGGTTGCCTTTCCGAAGGGCCAGATGGCGGCTTCGCGCGGGCCCTGCGACCAGGCGGGCCAGGGAATCGGCGTTCGGCCGCGGGGCCGCCTCCCCGTCTTTCTACTTCTCTTTTTCTTAAAAACCACCACCCAGTTTTTACTGAATGGCTTCACGGACCCCTCTTAGCGTGCGCGTCTCAAGGGCAGTCCTCCCAGCGCGCGCCAGCCGAGCGCCAGGGCGCGGCGCACTCACCCACTCTCTGCTCCTCCGCGGACGCCCCGGGGTCGGCGGCCCGCCCGGCGAGGAGCTGCAGTCTCTTGGGCTCCCCGGCGTGGTGTTTCCTGAGCTCCTGGACGAGCTCCACGACCAGGCGCAGCAGCATCTGCCCGTCTGCGGGCTCCCGGGGCTCCGTGCGCCCCCGGCCGCGCCCCGCAGCCCCCCGCA